TATATTTCTTTAAATGTCAACCATAAAAATGTTTATAACTCCACCACTTGTGATGCACGTTTTTTATTTATCGTAAAAGACAATCGTGAAATGGCCAACTAAATATACTACTATTGTTAGTATGGTTTGTAATTATCAGATTTTTAGTTTTCCTGTTATTAATGTATGCAACACAAATGTCAGGTTAATCGCATAATATATGCAACCCACACTACAGGTTGATCAGGTAATGTATATAACATAGGTACACGGATGTGTGTTGGGTTGCATAAATGATCTCTTTACTATCGAAATAACATGAACACGATTTATGTCCCAAATGGTCCCTGCCTTGTGTCTAGATCTAGATCGATTTCAAATCGGTAAATACCCTCGTATAGTATCGAAATCGTTTAAACAATTTTACAGAACTTGTCCAGACTTTTTTTATGAACGCCCTCGTATGTAATTTATCATACTGGTACATATCATTTCTGTGATGTGTGCAGTTTTTTCAAGCTTCTCACACACACCCGGAAATTCCCGTCTCAATAAACCGTTCGATCCTGGCCAACTTCAATAAACAAATGCAAGACCTCATTTCCGCCAGATTGGCAATGCACCCAACTTGTTTAGACATTCAAAAATTACACTCTTTCACTGTCCTGTGTTCTTAAAATACATAACGAAAAACTTCCTCGCTTGGAAACATCAACCGGGCTCGTTGTAAGCAATAAAAAACCATTCACGTCTAGTTTCGCTCATTCGTTGTTGCTTTTTGAAAATGCACTCGATAAATAATATCAATACTATAAACCTAATTTTCAGTACTCTCGTGTAGTAGAGTTCACTAACTTTTTTATTTACTCTTCGAAAGCCAAACCGTCTGGCCACTGAAAGCCTTTCAAAATTTAAACATCGTAAATGATTTATTATCCTTTCAAAAATGAGTGAAGTCCGTGTACCATTTCTTTCTAGTCCATTAATAAGGGAACTTAAGGTAACTGTAGAATCTAACCTATAGAATAACACGATCAGCCAAAGTTATCGATGCTTAGTATAAGTTTCTAATTATTAATAAGGCGTGGGTTGTTGACTGATTTTATTTAGATATTTCCACTATATGTACGGTTCTCCTATGTACAAATAGATTCGTAATTGCCGCCACATCTGCTTCAACTATCCGCCGCTAGATGACTGTAGGTACCGATTGTTTAAAAATTGAGGAATTATTGTGCCTGACATAAACAGATTTGTTAAATAAGAAATTAAATACATAATGTTTTTCGTGTGTAATAAATTATTTTGTGATGGAGTGTTGGGCAGTCTCGTTATGGTAAGTGTACCCATATAATAGTAGTCCCTGACGGTAAAAATGTATGTAGTACAGATTAATGTTGGTAATAAAAACGTTGGAATAAGTACGAGCGTGGAAAATAGGCTGATAGTAAATTTATTAAGTTATAGAGATCATCTGTAATTATTATTGGTTTATGACTGTAGTAAAACGTGCAACAGGCGATGTAAATTAATAGAGGCATTGATAGAAAGTGCACTTAACAGATTTATTGTAATGTTAAGTAATCCAATGCATTATCTTAAAAAATAATGTAGGTACCAGAGCGTTTGTGTAACAAAGTCAGAAAAAGCAAAGAAATTTTGAATAGCTTTATAACAATTAATACATTTTTTGTTAACCATTTAGAAAATCTCCAAGTTATGTAACGTTCAATTGTTATACCTACGTAAACGAAAAAAGAGACGATCAATTTAGCCTACTTAGGAGGTTGTTTGTTGCCTTTAATTACTGATTAATCTTTTCAAATACTTTCTCTCACGTTTATGTTGCATGAGTTATTACTATCCTCCTAGATACAATGCATCATTTGTGAATTTGTAGTTTATCTCTCGGTTCATAGCGAACCGCGTCGCCAACTTATATATACATCAAAGACGATTAATCTAGATGGTCGTGCGTTGAGAGGGCATCTTTAATCCCGGTCTGCAAATGAAACATTTACAGCGTTGAATTGTGAATTTCCTTGCGCCGAACATAATTACTCCGCTACTTAACCTCTTAACCTTTAGCCATCTTAGCATCATCTCTAACGTACAGTCACGTTCTTTGAAATTGAACGGAAGTGGCTGGTACAACAAACCCCTGTGTAAACACGACTGTTTTCATGTTAAACAGAACTGTGACTGTCATGTATAAGTACGAAATTAAATAGCTACTTCGGGTGGAATACTGTCAGAGTGCGGCTTCTTCAGGTAGAAGAATGGCACAGTTTGGCATTCTTCAGGTGGAAGAATGCCGCAATGTGGCATCTTCAGATAAAAGAATATCACAGTGTGGCTTCATCAGATGCAAGAATTCCACCGTATGGCTTCGTCAGATGGAAGAATACTACGGTGTGGCGTCTTCAGGTGGAAGAATACCATGGTATGGCTTATTCAGGTAGAATAATGTAAGTGAGGCTTCTCCAGATGGAAGAATGCCGCCATCTGTACCTTCAGACAAAAGAATATCACGGCATAGCGCTTCCAGGAAGAAGAATACCATAGTATGACTTCTTCCGATATAAGAATACCACTGTGTGGCTTCTTCAGGTAGAAGAATGCCGCAATGTGGCATCTTCAAATAAAAGAATATCACAGCGTGGCTTCATCAGATGCAAGAATACCACGATATGGTGTCTTCGGGTAGAGGGAATGGCACATTGTGGTGTCTTCAGATTGAAGAATACAATGGTGTGGCTTCTTCAGGTGGAAGAATGTCAGTGAGGCTTCTTCAGATGGAAGAATGCCGCAATGTGGCATCTTCCGGTAAAATAATACCACGACATGGCTTCTCCAGAAAAAAGAATGCCCCAGTATGATTTCTTCAGATGCAAGAATACCACGATCTGTCTTCTTCAGATGGAAGAATACTACGGTGTGGCTTTTTCAGGTGGAGGAATGCCACATTGCGGCGTCTTCAGGTAGAATAATACCATGGTGTGGCTACTTCAGGTGGAAGAATGTCACAGTGTGGCTTCTTCTGATAGAAGAACAAGAAGCCGCAGTGTGGTTCCTGTAGGTGGAATAATACTAAAATGTGGCTTCTTCAGGTGGAAGAATGTCAAAGTGTGACTTCTTCACATGGAAGAATGTCGCACTGTGGCTTCTTCAGGTGGAAAAATACTAGAGTGTAGCTTCTTTCGGTGGAATAATGCCATAGTGTGGCTTCGCCGGATGAAAGAAGACCACAATGTGGCTTCTTCAAGCTGAAGAATATTACAGGAAGACTGCTTACGACAGTGTGATAAAATGATCATAGATGCTTGTAAACTAAAATCATCAAGAATTAAAAGCGTCTTAGATTCAATTACAATTTGTAACTTGCTTATGTAGCACAACGTAGGGGTAAAATCAAGTATTATTTGCATAACAGATGTGTCCATTGCTATAACTAAACCGAAAAAGAAATATGTATATACAGTGTAATACATTAAGTACTGTTATTTACGGTAGTAATAATAGATGTACATAAATTTCTGGTGTACATGGTCGGTCTGTAGGATTCGTGTCCAGTCACAATAGTCATTATTACGAAGTGAGTAATTAACCTAATTATTCGACTACTTCCGCTGTTGGTTAATAAATAATTAGATTCGTTTCATTTACTTCTGACTTCTGAAACGCACGCTTCCAATAGTTAATGCACGATTCCGTTTTCGTTTAAAATATTTACTCCTTGTTTCCCACTTTTTTTTTTTTTTGAGAGAACGAATGGTAGTTTCGAATGCCGTTGGACAGTGTGTCATTTGCTGCCCAGATAGAGCATCTTCGTCCTTTAAGGAAACATTAAAAATTAACAGTAGAAATTGCATCGATTTTCACATGAAAAAGTTATTTTCGTAAGAAAAATGTTTTTTAACTTTTATTTACAGTTACATTTATTAGGGTTGTAACATTTGCTGTATGTTAGGTTGTCTATATATTGTACTACAGATTGGTTTAGTTAAGTTAGCTTAACTTCTTGTAAAAAGGAAAGTATATTAATTAGCACCCCTATCGGCGTCTACATGGAAAAAACATACTTTAAAGGTGAAAATTCATCGATTTATTTTAGATAAGTCACAGTTACAGCTCAATTAAAGCCCTTGTTCTAGAATTTCCCGGCGCCTCCTCCAAAATTATGAACAAAATATCTTCAAGTGCAATTTAATTTCGGCATTAAAATGATAGTTTATAATAATAATTAACTAGATAGTCGTAATTAATAACTAAATACCTTCATCAGCACCTAATATAAATATGTAAGTGTCCAACAAAATCTTATAAGAAAATATCATTAATAACGTTACCGACTAATTAATTATTTCTACGTAATATTTTAATTTGGTCTAGAATCGTATTGATTTTCAAGCGAAAAAGTTATTTCCGCAAGAAAAATGTTTTGTAACTTTATTTACAGTTACATTTATTAGGGTTGCAATATTTGGTGTACGTTGGGTTGTCTATATATTGTACTACAGATTGTAGTTTAACTTATTGGAAAAAGAAAATATATATTAATATTAGAAGGCCTAACGGCGTCTAAATGAAAATAACATACCTAAAAGATGAAAATTCATCGGTCTACTTCAATTAAGTCACAGGTACACCTCAATTGGAGCCTTTATTATAAAACTTCCCGGCGCCTCCACCAAAATTTTGAATAAAATAATAAAAACACGTTAATGTATCTTCAAGTGCGATTTAATTTCGGCATTGAAATGATACGTTTATAATAAAACTTATCTAACTACTCGAAATTAATTACGAAATACCTTTAGCAGTCCCTCATACAAATGTGTAAGGGTGTCCAACCAAATCTTCCAAGAAGATGTTATTAATAACGTTACTAACTAATGAATTATTTCTTCTAATATTTTGATTTGTTCGAGGGAAATATTGATTTTTACTTAAAAAAGTTATTTTCATGAGAAATAAGTTTTTTAACTTTATGTATAGCTGTGTACATTAGGGTTATAATATTAACTGTATGNAGAATACCACTGCTCATGGAATTTTAGCAGCTCACTCCTAACATTGATTCCTTTTTTCTTGGGTATCACATCCAAGGTCTCCTTATTACCTAGAAATTTAAATTAAATAGCATTTAGCTTGTATACAACTTATCAAAATTACCAGTTCCAAACTTATGATATGGATGATTAGGATTGCATGTGTGTTTTTCCAACTGAGACATTCTCCACATGTCATTAGGCAAATTCTTTTCGTGCTCTGAATTAACAGCTATCAGCTCTCTCTCAGTGGCACTTTCAGTGAAGAGAGGGGCAATAAAGAACTGTGCAAACCTTTGAAACACAAGAAAAAAAGGTAAAAGTCTGATAGTGAACAGAATATTGATGTGCAAACCTGTCTAATGCCTCTGTAAGTTTATCAGGAGCAACATCAAAATAATAAACTGTATGATCAGTATATGTGGATGCATTGCTGCTTCCACTATGCTCACTTAGGAACTTAATGTACTCATTTTCATTTGGGTACTTTTCAGTGCCCAGAAATAGCATGTGTTCACAAAAATGGGCCAAACCAGGCAAGTAATCAGGGTCACTCAGGAAACCTACAAAGAATCAGTAAGAAACGTGCGAAAAAATATTCACTACTTTCTTACCAACGTTTACATTGAGAGCAGCCGCTGATTTATCAGTTGTAGGATCGCTGACAAGTAATACTTTCATATGGTTACTGAGTTCAAGTCCCCTGTAAGATCTCTTATCTTCAGGAGATTTGATAATATTCTGAAACTTCTTCAGGGGAGCCCTGGCCTCAGTTTGTCCAGTCATGTTTTTTATTCTTGAAATCGACCTTTTAGAACTGAGGAGCACAAAAGAACTTATATTAAACTTTGGTGCTACTTGAACATAACCTCAATACCTTAACAGTAACTGATTTGTACTTTTAATACATGTAAATCGTTTAAGAACTAGCTGCGAAATGTAGAAATACATTCAGGTAACACTGATAAACTGTTAACAGCAATTTTCTGCAAAAAATAAAAACCATGTGAGGCAATCAAACCAAGTGTCACTTCTCACAGTACATGCTTACATAAAAATTGGTACTTTGACAACTCAGATAAGTATTAATATTCAATTAAAACCGTCATTCGCAAGTTTCTATAATTACATTTTTCTTTCAAATTAGTCTAATTAAGAAAAAAAATTAATATCTAAAAAGTAAAGCCGCCCGAGCAGGGACTTGAACCCTGGACCCTTGGATTAAAAGTCCAATGCTCTACCGACTGAGCTACCCGGGCACATGTTGGTGATACTTCGAATAATGTCATTGTGTGCAGCAGAAGTAAATAATAAATAGCAGTGGCGTAACATAGATTTTTACTTACAATACTTCCGTATATAATACAACCACTTCTTTATTTTTTTTGCGGTTAATTATTGTAGAAACGCTTTTAATTAAGTTAACGTTTATTAAAAAAAATGATACTAAATCAAAAAAGATTAAATAAATCATATTTTTTTACCAATTAGGTAAATTATTTATTGTAACATTCAGTGTTAACGTTCTATTAACTGTGAAACTACTCTTCTACTTGCCTATTCATAAAATTCCGATTCGTGAAATAATTGAGGCATACTTTTTTGTATCGATAACAATTAACGATTAGGCATCTATTATAAAAGCAACTCATTTTTCAATTTATTAATTAAAGAATATATTTCTGTGGTATCTACGTCAATTTTATACTCCTACACGATTTTTGCCGCTTAAATTTTTTGTGTACTAAATTATAAAACTGGCGGCAAGTGGGTGGCGAGTGGTTAGGGTGTTCGAAGGGGGTTGTGTTGACAATTAGTTTACCAAATCATCGACTCCACACTCAACCGTGCCACCTTCAGACCGCCTGCTCACCCACATGCCCGCTTGGTTTTACTTCAACCCCGTGCTCCCCCTCGCACATTCCCACCCTCCGTCTAATAACCATGTCTTGGTTCGCTCCGTACTCTCAGCTCTGCTCTCTTTGCTTCTCTCTAAGCTATTATTAAGTGCTTCGCCTGTAATCAATTTAGCAGTCAATTTCAATTATATTTTATAGCATCGTAATGGATTCCCATTACGAAATGGCACTTTGAACTTGGTGATTTTCATCGAGGAAACGTGAAACAGGGAGAGCACGCTTCTGGTCGTAGAAGCCACTATAGCGTTTTTCGAATAACGTTCAAATGACGTCTCTATCAGTAATAAAGTTAACCAACCACGCGAATGACGTAGAATCATGCGTAGAACTGTCAATAGGGAATAAATACTGTGTTGATAGCCCTTTACATTCTTGTTAACCATTTGTCAGTCTTGTCGCGTGTTCGCATTAAAAAAAATCAATTGTTTTGTTCTGTAATGCACTTACTGCATATCAACAATGGCAGCAGTTCACCTGCTATTGTTTTGTGTTTCTGCGCCGATAGTGACGTCACGTCAAGAGGTTCTCAAAACTGACGGCAAATATTCGAAAATGTTTAGCGTTTAGTTGTCGTTGTTTCTTGGCGAATTTAGTCAAAATAATCCTGTAGACGTGTAAATATGTGTAGAGAGAAAATTCGCGTTCCTCGATAGGAAATTTGATTTCAAACGCCTGCGAGCGATTTCTAGGGAAATTACAGTACAGATTGAGAGGGGCCTTAGTCCTTTACGTTCCATATACACCCTTTTACATGGTTTAGGCTTTTAAGAACTTGTGGCAATCTGCTCTTGAATTAGGTATGCATGCCCCTCGCATTTTTGCAATCTAATTTTTATCAATATGCGATGAAAAATAATATCGTGTCAGTCTGAATTTAACAGCTTGTGAATCACCAATCCAGAATCCAACCCTGATAATCTTTGAATTACAGATAAAATTATACTGTAGTCTGTTACATTGCACTTATTGAGACGGTGTCGTCGTACAAACATAGCTCGTTACCATCCAGAAGTAATACTCCATACAACAGTTAAAGCCGCATCAGAATATATTCAGTGGTTCCTGAGTTATAGGGCAACAGACATACCGCTCTCCTAATTAGGGATGTATGCGCTGGGCTGTCTGTGGGCGCTAGTGTCTCGCGCCCACGGGTGCCGACGAGAGATCGTAGAACCCTGTATTCGACTGGAAAACAAATCATTCGGTAGTTCCACATATGCCCAAGTTATAACGAACAACTTTTAAGTATTATGTGTAAACACGTAGCGGTTCTCCAGGTTACTCGCACGTCCCCGGTCGCCTTGGCAATAAAATATGCATTGTACAGTGGGGGCCGCAAAGCACAATAAAACAAAAGACCATTGAATTAACCCCATAAGACGACCTGTACACATACACGTTCGTACACGTACACATGCATGCAGTTGACAAGTGTAATAAGGGTTGTCATCGAGAGACGTAGTACTCGTGTTCGTCAGAGAGGCAGCAGCCTGAGAGTGTTCTCAAATATCCGACGGTGTGACGTCAGAGCTCGGTGGCTACACGGCGGAAGTGTTGGGCATATACAATACGGCAGCGCCAACATAAAAACCCCCGGCCACTTCTGCCAACTGTAAGAACCCTTAAAAATTGCCCAACTTAAGCTGCCCGTCAACTCCCAAGTTTGTTTTTTCTCAATGTCGCCGACTATTGTTACCGAAAGAAACGGAAAATTCTCGTAAATATCGACTGTACATGCCGAAAAAGAAAACGTCTAAACTAAAGAAACTTTTCATGAAAGCATAAATTAAAAAGTTTCATTTATATAAAATAAAAAAGCAATTACGTAAGTAGGTATGCTAAGTTGCAACTGGAGCATATACAGGTAAGGCAAAACGTTCACCGAATATAAAAATTACAACATTTCTTTGTCGGAGTTTTTTCTTTTTAGTCGCATAGGCGTCTATCCCAATAGGTGTATTTCCTACTTCTCTATACTAACCGAATCCTCAAATTCTTTTGAGAAAACGTAAAATCCTTCAAAAACTTTAAATTGATTATAATATAATATTTTATTGATATTGACTTGAAAATTTAAAAATAGTCTATCTCAACAGGTATATCGTCTACTTCTCCTATGAAAACCTCCCTATACTAACTTAACCCTTACAATCTTAATATCCCTCGAAAACTTTAAATTGATTATAATATAATATTTTATCAATATTGATTAGAAAATTTAAAAATAGGATTAAAATCTTTTTATACACTAAATTTTGGTAAAAATATTCGGTTCAGATATGTATACGTAAGTATGTATCTAAAAAGTTTATATCAACTTATCATAATTCAATAAGTTAATAGCGCTTTTTTTTTCATTTATCGGTTTGCGAGCAAATTTTTTGAACCGTGGAGTTTCTGCGACTTTAGGGCGGAAAAACTCCCGAAAAGTTACCCTGTCATTTATGTACAAAACAAGTTAGGCATGCATTATTACTTACGCCGAATAGGTTTTCGTATTTTTAATGAATTTGATAAAAAGTTTATACAACGTGTGTAGTAGATATCTTGTATTATTGAGCGGATACATTTGAATTCCACGAACGTTACATTACGTCACTTAAATTCTACATTCGATTGAAGAATTTATTTGAAATTTTTAGAAGTGGTTAGTTTTTAATATGAAAATTAATTTTTCGAATTTTTTACACACTATGAATTTTCATATTATTTCATATGAAGAATTTATTTGTTGAAAATAAAGTGTTTTCTGTGCATGTAGGTACATGGTACGTAATTGAAAACGTTGTGATACCATGAATAGAAACGGTTAATTTTAAATAACCCCCAAACACGGTTTCTTTAAACCGGCATCCCTTGAATTACGTCAAAATTGAAATTGCCTCTTGATGTCGATCGATAATTATTAGTCAATCGCTATACAATGATCGTCATTACAGGTATTTAAAATAGGACGATATAACAATGCGCAATCAATCAAATACACTCGACCACATGGTTCGAAAGTGTCAAAACCCAATTAGCCACGATTTGAAGAGGTTACGTTACATCTAATTCTTTTCAAATATGACTTCACTTCTCTCTGCAAAATCAAATTATAGTTAAGTGCTCCGATTAATATCTCCTCAAAGGGACACGGCCGAAAGCAGATTTTCGAGAGCGAACGAATTTTAAATTCAATCCAATTAATCTGGAACAATTAGGGCAATTTTCGAAACGTCGCCTTCCCTCTACATCCCGGAACGAACAAAGAATGAAAATTCAGAGTTAACAGACACGGTTTTTATATCGTCATGCTACAGTATAAACTACACCGACGTAGTAAGTTTATTAACTATAGGGTTGTTCGGAAAGTCATTTCGTTTTTTTTTTTGTAGAAATGAAAGACAGTTTTCGTATAATAAACAAATACTTTATTAAATTATATATTGACCGTTCTGGTCCAACACCTTTTGCCATCTTTCTGGTAGTAGCATAATTCCACGCTCATAAAATTTTTGGTCTTTGCTGGCAAAAAACTGATCGAGGAGGTTTTTGACCTCCTCATTTGAGGTGAAGGTTTTACCGTCTAAAAAATTTTGGAGTGACCGGAACAAATAATAATCCGATGGTGCCAGGTCTGGAGAATATGGTGGGTGTAGCATTGTATCCCATTCAAGCTGTAAAAGCTTTTGGCGAGTGACCAAACTTGTGTGAGGTCTCGCGTTGTCTTGGTGAAACACTACACCTTTCCTGTTGATTAGTTCTGACCTTTTCTGTTGAAGTGCATCATTCAGTTTGTCCAGCTGATGACAGTAGACTTCCGAATTAATCGTTGTGTTATCCGGTAAAAGCTCAAAAAAAACGATTCCTTTAAAATCCCACCAAACAGACAGCATCACCTTTTTTTGGTGAATATCGGCTTTGGAAATGGTTTGAGCCGGTTCATCTTTTTTGCTCCATGACCTCTTGCGTTTGACGTTGTTGTATACAACCCATTTTTCGTCCCCAGTGATGATGCGCTTCAAAAACGGATCATTTTCGTGACGTTTGAGAAGCGAATCGCAGACATCAATGCGGCGACACAGATTTCTCTCTGTGAGAACATGGGGAACCCGTACATCGAGCTTCGAGGATAATAATTTGA